TGACCGATTTGATGGAATACATGAAATCCCGGGTGTATTTGATCAAATTTGTGATTACTTTACTAGCACAACAGTCGCCTTGGTAACCAATGTAAAAGTTCATGCGATTAATGCAAAAAAAACTCAGACACAGTTATGGTTATACAGTGAATAATCCGATGATGGAGAAGCGGATAGCGTGGCCGAGATTCGAAGGCCCCGCCAGTTTGTTTGAGTCTACTTCCTGTGTGGTGGTGGCTAAGTGGTTAGGTCATCAACTTATGACCAGGAAGTTTCGGGTTCGAGCCGCTCCACTGCCGCCCGTCTTCCCTATTTCTGTATTATATTTTCCCCAGGCAGCCTTTGTATGGCCGCATCCCCGTTCCTGAACGTTGACTGCACATTTGTATATTCATTAAATAAAAAAGAAAGTAAAAAGACATTTAAGACATTTATTTCCGCGATTTTCCTAATCTCGCATCTCAAACTTAATCTTATTGAATTTTCGGTTTTCTTTTGCTGCGACAGGCAGACAGCAAACGAAACAAACACTGGGTTTGAAGTAAATCAAACACCCTTGATGCTTTCTACCCGTTGGTATTGCCCTTGCATATGGAGTTAGTACATCCTTGTGATCAGAGGATTTTTCTCATTACCATGTTTACAATAAATTACGACAGTTTACATAAGGCGTCTTATTCTCTCTCTATTAGCCTGGATTCATGATTTGCATATTCTTCTCTTCTTCGCCCCTCCTTTTCACTCTCTCTGTCTCTCAACGTCGTGTACCGTTTGCACACCACGAATAGACCTGAATGGGGATAGGAAGTTATCTGCTGAAGAGGTTGATGTTATCCTTGAACGTGAGGTAAGTCATTGTTCGATTCTGTCATTTTGCATCTCCGAATTATTCAAACAATTCCTCTAATCACAGGCAGAAAATCAAAGTGATTACAAATTTGACTCATGCATCATGTTTTTCCCTAGTCGACTTACAAAGCGCCAGAGAATGCGCTAAGTGCACCTGTTTTATCTCAGTCTTTTTCGTCCATAGTTTATGATGAGAAGTGATGCGATTTTTCTTTGCCTATTCCAAATCTGTATGTTCGAACGCATTTTTGAGAAATCTATCTTTAATTAATAAAGAATTATCACTGCCAAATTGTAGGGGTATATTTGGTCAGCAATTTCTGTTGAACATCTTCGCAGAAATGTGTTTAACAATCAACCTGCATTGTAAACAGCTTTCTTTTACTCCGGTGCAATCCAGGCGCATTTTCCGTGGATCAGTATAATGGAGAAATACATTTTTTGATCCCGTTTTAAATCCGAGTTCCACACAGAATAGTCAGAAATCCCTAATCTGATCACCACGCGATCAATAGCAATGAATTATTACCCTTCGTTTCTGCAGACTTTTCTGCCTTTTTCGTCCTAGTCGTATCGCATTAGACTTGCAATAAATTGCACCCGATATGTGCTTAAAACGACTGGTATGTTCCTTGTGTTGTCTCCGACCTCAGAGTTAGCACAAAGCTACAGATTTCTTAGTTGTGACTTAGTTCTGACCCCATTGTAGTGTACGTCTGCAGAGAATGTTAACCAATATACCCTTGTTCAGGATAGGATTACACTGTCCACAAGCGATGCACCTAGGCTTGGTCATGACGAGGAAATCTGTAGCTCTGTGATAACCGTGAGGCTAGAGATCTTACAAGGAGCATATCAGTCGTTCAAGGACTCATTGAGTCTAGTACATTTTGGTGAGGATGAAGGTAAACAGAGGAGTGCATATCTAGTCAGTACCCTTACCCCTGAGCTAAACGTTTGACGATCACTACGTCCGATTGGCTCAAAAAAATTAGACGAATGTTTTCACTGAGCCATTCGCACAAGGTGATGACCGTCGGCCGTTTATCTCAGGACTAAAGGTGTTGACTCCCAACCCTAAAGTTTGCGATTCAAGTCCTGGCTGGGACATAAAAAGTGCATACTGCTGATGAGTCCCAGAAAAATAAAGAATCAGTCGTCTAGTGCTCTTTGTCGGTCGTCACATTTTAACGTATGTACGCTCTTGCATTTTCATATGATTCGAGTTTTCATCTTTTGAGTTGTCTGTTTGTACAACCTATACCCTTACACTGTCATGCGACGGTTTCGACTGCCGTATGTCACCTACCCACTTGATTGTCTAGTGTGAAAGAAGTGAGCGGCATAGTTTAAATTCTAAGAGGATTAGTTGGATAGAAATACAGAAAGCACGCAAACATGAGATGCACAGAGTGGGAGATTCACGAGTGTTACTTTATTCGCTTTTTGTCTCATATTTCCGGTGCGAGGATGAGCACACTTCATGAACTCTGTTCATCAAATTGGTACAAGTGATGTATTCATCGTCGTATTATCTTTTTGTTTGAGGGTATACCTCTGACCTTCACAGAATCAAATGTGACTTGTGAGGTCGTACGACCCTTTAATACAGTTATGCTACCCAATATTATCCAACCCTTGATTAGCTTAACCACGGACTTCCACACCGGAAAGTGTTGTGTGACCGATCTATCTCTGCGAGCCTCGTGGTTAGACTTTTCATACCCAAGTCAAATAGGATCATGTTAGGAATGAACGTAGTTCGTCCATCGCGAACAAAGTTCCGGTGAAAAAAAGTTGTCACATTATCTTGAGCTTAAATGAACCTAAAGGTGCATATGATTTCACTCTCATGTGCAAAGTTATGATGAAGAATAAGGAGGAAAGTCACCATTTTTGGTCAATGAGATTTTCAAGAGAGATGTTACGTTAGTCCAGAATATGCTCAATCTTATTGGTCATCTATGTCCTGGAGTCTCGTGTTATCGGTTATCGCGCACATTTTCTAGGGCTCTCAAGGTCAATTCATGAATGATAATGTGTAACGTAGATGTATGACCTCGAATACAACTTTCGCGCTATCCTGGTTGGCATATGCTTTTTGAAGGTTGGCGGTTGGATAGTTGAAACGACTTTTGAATGCGTGATTTCACGGAACTTAACAGACAGCAGCTCTCAGGCGGCCAGGTTTATGGTCTGATTTACGCGCATATTGGACGATGTTCTTTAATGAATCATTGCTGCTTTTGTGCCCTTGATCGAACTTTTTATGGGATGATTTTTAACACTGGTTACAAATTTGGATTGAGCACTCTTAAAGCTTCATCTTTACGCACAGTTTTCTGTTAACCGGTTTGCCATAATTGCAGAAAGCAATGGATTTGGGCTTTGCTCTTTTTCGAACGTATATGTTGTGCATATCCACCGACCCATCCGGAATTCGTGCTTCTTATTTCGTGGATAGAAGACGTGTGTTGCGCCTGTGCTAATTAGGTCACACCGGAGCTCTAACAAGAGCGGAGCTGAATTCTGGTACTTTCTGAGTGCACGGTTGACTGAATGAACTGAGAATTGTGCGTGGAAATGACGTCTGAAAGAGTGACGGTCCAAATCGGTGTTACTTATTCCACACCGCTACTCGCAAATAACTGTGGATTTTGTGTATCAACTGTGATTAATTTGCGTTTCTCTCCTACTCTTGTTGTACAGATGGAAAAAGTGGACAAGAACGATTCCAGCGCGAACAAAACGTACACAGCTACCGTACTCCGAGAAATGCGAGACTACTTTATGGATCAGTTTGATCACAACAAAGATGGTGTCATTGGTATGGACGAATTCGTCGGAGTGACGGACCATAATCAGGGCCACAGTAAAGGAGAGTGGGTTGTAAGTAGCCAGTGCCGTTTTCCTGTTGCATTGCTCGTCTACTGTCCGACTGAAGGCCTCCGACCCCAGTTGACAGATTTTTAACAGAGCCAGTCGAGTAGAACTGACCATGTTTAACTATTGCTTTGAATCCTGCACATAAATATGCGTTGTGTTAGGTGTTTTACTAGCCATTTTGATTTGTAGAGGATGTTAGTTCTTTCGGAAATGTCACGGATTTCCATCCGGATTTGATCGACCTCATAAATCAAATCCAAGTTTTTCGATCACACTTGTCAAATTACACACGATATGATTAGTGTGGCCATTTATTTTGTAACATTGCCCTCTGGAAACTTCCCGCGAGAAGACACCGACATTTGGCCCGAAATTCGAACTAAGAACCGCTTGTAACATGTGCTCTGTTGGCTTTCACTCCGGTAAGGTCGTCAAGACAGCTCCGCTTGCCGCACGCTAATCACTAGCCTCTTGCTGATGAAAATGCCATATAAAGATATTTTCTTCCATAATATCTATTTCAATCGATATTACCACAACCAGGGGATATTTTTTGCCAAACAGCCAATACGGTAAACGGATTTCCTAGGTTGGTCCTTTCATTGTATAAAGTAGAAAAATCCTGTCACCGTTTCACAGAGCTCTACCACTACGAATGCCACACGATTGTATTTTTTCCTGATCCATTCAATGCAGTTAAACCGTTCTTAGAGAAAATTGGTCTTGTGTGGGAGTATATTAACGCAACGAGTTTCCGCTTAGCAAAGTCATCGACCACCTGCAACTTCAGTTTGCTCTTTGTTCTGATCTCTTGCGAAAGGTTGACAGCGGTAACCGAAATGTCGCTTTATGAGCAACCCCCCCCCCCGACGATACCGTGTTACTGACAAACACACCTCTTTAGATAAGGTTTCTTTTTACTCAAAACCGCTTTCCACACACACGGGTGGTGGTGGCCCGGTGGTAAAGATCACCAAATTACCAACTCGGAGATGTGTTCGAATCCCAGCACCGCTGCCTGATTTTCCCCATTATTTATTGTATGACAGCCCTCTGATTCGCCCCCTTCCCCCTTCATGAAAATAGTCTCATTATGTGTTCAATAAAAAGGAAGTAAAATTGAAAAATAAAGGAAGCTAAACCTAATTATGTTTTACCATGCCCATATGGGTGTTTGTGGGTATATAACCCACCTCGACCAAGAGAACAGTTCATAAGTAATGAGTTGCACTGGAGATCTAGCTACACTGCTGATTATTCAGGTGCGTGCATCAACTGAGGTTATCGGTTGCCTTTGTCTCATTTAATGAGGTGCTCAAGAGGTAAGTAGCTTATTTCGCTCTTGTTGGTTCATGCTCTTGTGTGTTGGAGTTTTCGCTGTACGTGAAGGAATAAAGAGGAAAAATTTATTTCCCGGACTCCGGAGCTCTGGGCTTCACAATGTTCGAGGAACCCGTAAGATGGTTTCGTCACCCAAAATCACAAGATTGGAATTGTTGTTCGCTACTTGGTAGTTTAGTTTTACTCATTTATTGGATTGGTTAATCCCTCTTAGTAAGTTCTGTCCTAACTGCCTGAGTTACTTGATCGCCAACTTTGTGTTAGTTAGTTATTTTCCATGATGGCGTATCTCCAAACCTCACCTTACCTTACCTTATTGACCAGATCAAGCCACATTATTGGTCCTGTGCGCCCGTCGAAAGTTTATTTATAATGCATGGCGATTTCCTCACTTTAAGCTTCATTGTTAACAGTTCATTGGCATCCTTGGCAAAGTACCGTGTTGGCTAATTACTCTCGCGAATGATCCAGATTTTTGTGATTCGTTCTCATCAGATGAGATCCTTCATTTAGGTCGATAAGCAAACGCTTCTGTGTTTTCGATTGCATAGAAATAGGTTAGAGCCACACACGTTCACCAACGAACCACCACAGATCAATGCGTTCAAGATGCACCCCCGACCCGGTTTGCAGAGCGTACAACAGGGTCGTGTGTGGATCTTATTCAACGGTGTATAATCATTATTCTCCTGTCGATTTATTCACTAACTAAAAAGTAAACTACTACTTTTCTCCGAATTTTTGGATAGCCCAACGAAGACAAAATACTGGAAGAAGCGGCCCGGCAATATCAAGAAGCTGAAGTAAGTCTCTTTGTTGCTCGCCGTAGATCAATGATTTTTCAACGGTTTTCCCGGGTTCCGTGTATTGTTATAGTTTGCCATTGGGGTTCATTGTGTTGTCTGATCAACTCTCAGAAGTTCGTCACTAAAATGCATCAAAGACGATAGGTAAGCCAGTTCCTAATTTCGCATCCATGCGCCCCTGGACATACGCACACATACTTCCGATAGGTATTCTTCTCTCTTAAGATTTTGTGATCGAATTCCGGGCTTGTAAGTTTTTGCGCCGGTCTTCGTGCAAGCCACAAGAAAAAAATTGCCTGTCCGGTGACCTGCCAGGTTCAATCGATCTATCATAGTGGAAGTGATGTGGTACCGTGTAGATGGGTTGCATTCAGTAGTTCATCCTGAGTAAAATCCAAGTTATGTTTTTCCTGTACGAGTTCTAATCGCTCCATGATTTTTATTATCACATCATCTAAATTCTTGTGGTAAGTGCTATGATCGAGTAAGTAGTAGTTGGACAAATGATCAGTTCAACCAGTTATCCCGTAAAGTGCGTAAAAACAAGCGTGGTTAAAAGTGATAGTTTTTGGACCCATTGTAAGGCTACTGCTGATCGTACCCAACTCTGAGCTAGGGGAAGATAATGATTCTCTGCTAAAGTTTACGTTTCTACGTCGGCTACGTAACTCCGTTGTGGTTCACTGCGATACCGATCTCTTGCTGATAGAGGTTTGGGTTGGCGAGTTTGACTATCAAAAGTATTATAACTGTCATTGATTTCACTCCGGTCGATCTTCCTATGCACTCGTTTTTTAAAATTCAAAATAAAATATACCCTTCTGTCGTTCACGTTTTGACTGAAATTTCAAAATTTCTGTTATTCGACACTTCCTCTGTTCAGTGTTTCTCTTTGAATAGTTATGAGTCCTCTTTCTCTCCGGAAAATTCAGTACATAGAACTCAATGTCCTCCATTTTCCCATAGTTTGGTAGTGATTTCTGATTTCGGATTACACATGATCATCCCAAACGGCACCAATAATAAGAGCGAATTACTTACTCGACTCATCANCAAACAACTGCTTACAACTGGTCAAAACTCCTCCGCTTATGACTTTTCTTACTAGATTACACAATTAATTAACGAACTTGCACTCCATGACTGGCTACAATACTCTAATCTCCTTTTCAGTCTATGCAAACTCGGAAGAGACATCTTCCATCCATTCGGTGAATCGATTGTTGTTTGATGTAGCACCAATACTGGTCTCTTCATCCGGTCCGTTTGCAAATCTGTCTTATATTGCTTCGTCTCCCGAGTCATCAATGTTTTCAATGTTTTTATTTCCGGGTTATGAGAAATGGCCACCTCTATTTAGCGTAACCTCGTTCTGCACAACACTTTGTTCTTTCCTTATTATTCTCCAATAGCTCCCTCTTTCATCCCTACTAGAATCGTTTAAAAAAATAACACGATTATGTCCGATACCAGCTTATCGCTACTACCCATTGTACTAAGTAGTATATGTTTCGTTTGTATTAATGACCGAAACGTATGATTGCTATAGAATGATGTGAGTGAAGCAAGTTTCTACTTCGTTTTGCCGCTCAATTTTCGTTTACATAAGGAATGCTTGATTTCAGTTTGATCAACAAGTCAATAAATCTAACTTGGCTCCTTTAGTTGACTTTTGTGGCTTGATACGTGTTGCGTGATGTGGTTTCTCCTCCCTGATGTCACTCCCTCCAGCAAAACACTATGTGAATCAAATCCCCCATCAAGAATCAGAGAGGATAACAAATCAGTGCAATGCAAGCAGCTACCGACAATGAACAAAGTGATAATTTCCTGTAGTTGAACGAAATAAATAATAACGAAGAGAACCAATTGATGCTCGATTGCCGTAGTCAGTCTACCAATGATGCATGCGCTATCCGAGCCGTAATGACTCATCGCAGACTGGGTGACAGATTCTGCAGTACTGGTACTCAATACGCCTCCGCTCCGGGTCAGGAGAATACTGGTTATAATGCGAACAGTTGTTGTCAGTGATTGCTAATCTTTTCTGTACAAATAGTATAACGTTGCAATGACAATATTCTGGAATCATGATGATCTTCGTAGCTACAGAAAAGTGTTCGAAGCTTGACGCGATTGAATGAGTACAATGAAAGAGTGGTTTTCATCTGTCACTGTATTATCTGCGTCAGTTGGCATGTCTTATTCACTCATAAACAACTCTGTTGGTTTCATATCCGTTTAGACTGGTCAGTCGAATCCACCAAGTCTGATTTCCGACTCATAAATCTCCTTTTACTTCTCCCTCAACAAGTCGATAGAGCAATTAGTGCGAATTCGGTGCGGCAGCTTTCTGTTGGACTTTGTGCACTGTCAGTCCAGTCTTATCTCATCAGATAGCATTTGACAAGATATTTCCATTTCGTTTGTGTTACTGTTTTGCGACCGTATTCCGGGCTCTCGCAGCGCAGCGGAGTGAACAGAGATACGAGATAAAATGCCCCTCTTCGCTTATTCTCACATCTCGAGACGATAATGAGGCTTTATGGGTGACGGAAGAGGGCGGTGCTACGATCGAAACACGAGATAGCGAGGAAACACTGATAGATAGGTCCTCCGTGGGTCGAGGTTAGAGATAAACCTGCAAGGCAAAGCAAATAAAACGCCACGAACTAAGTTTCAGTGAGATACAAGCAACCACAGTACAATAATCTTTATAAAAAGTGGAAGTTCCGTGATTTGTTTGAGGGTGGTATACTGCCAGTACCCCCATGCATAGGCAGGTGGGTTTTCTCGGGGAATTCACAACGGGAGCCTTTGGCTAGCCAAAGCCTGACCCGAAAGACAGCGGGGTGACGTGTGAAAACCGCAACTCATTTGGGGCCGGTGTCCAGTTCATTGGATCATACGACCTTTGCACAAGGTTCGACGTCCAAGTTGCCCAAAAAATCTCGATACTCAATGGAGTCGATGACCACTGTCATAACCAGGAAGTTGTGTGTGTGTGTGTGCGTACGTCTCTCCTTGGTTGGTTTGGGATCAGGGCTTTTACCCCTAGTTATAGAGCATTTCGAGATTCGCAACAGAAGGGTGATCAGCCACCAGCCGAGATGCCCACCCCCGATCGTACCGCGGCTTTTGGAAGCGGGAACAAAAGCAGTTTTCATTGAACTGTGCTGCATTCAACCACTGCGCTCTTTGTTCAGTAGGATCATTTCTTTTCTATGATGCTATCACATTAAAATCGGGTAGGATTAGTTTCCGTCTGCCATCTGTTGATTATATGACTCCAATGTTCAACTCAATGGTTTTATTGTTGTGGTTACTGAAAATATAACCAGATCAAAACAATAAATTACAACACAAAATAGAAATGAAAGCGTCCGAAAACAACGGCCCTAACGGAGACCCCGTTATTACATGATCCTTCTGACGATGGATTTCCTCACTAAACTTTAATTGCACATTGTTGGTGCAGAAGAATAACAATAGTTCTAGGTTATTTTTCGGTAGGTCTACGTCAATCCTCGTTCGTTTCAACATAACCATAATCAATTGTCTCGCCTATCGGAACATTCGTGAAGAGAGATTTGACAACTAGCGAAAATATGTGGTGGTCTTTGATATTTAAACCACACAACGTGTCAGTACGACCGAACGGATCCTTAAAGCTATGCTGAGACATCGAATCTCTCACTGATTGCAGAAGTCGACCTAACGATTCAGCTCCGCGCGTGATAGGAAACGGATATCGAACAATGCGTAACGTACACGCGTTATGTAGAGGACATTTTGTGCGTGGTCGATCCCACAACTGAGTGTCCACATCTGCTAGATCATTTCAGCGTTGCACATCGTAACTCGAAGTTCACGATTGAAAATGAAGCAAACACTTAGCTAGCATATTTAGATATGCGCTTAACTCGTGCTGACGAATCGATCAGACATATTGTTGCAATCATTATTTATGAACGAGAGGCGAGCAATGAGAACAGATGTGGTGAATAATCAAATCTATAAAACTCACAACATTAGGTGAGGCCTAATACGTTTTCTGGAAGGGCGATATTTGCCGAAAGAACTGGATGGCGTTCGTGTATGGGTTCGAATCTCACTGAGACTCGTAGTGTTTTCACAAGTAGATTACAGAGATAAATTCCTCAAATTTGGGAAACAATGAAATTAGAACCATTGAAACTGATTTTGTGTTTTTTTTTGTTTCCTCAAACAATAGATTAAGCCCAAGTTTAAGGCTTGCGAATGCTGTCTGATCCATTAATCCTTCGGATGGCTAATTTATTGAAAGTAACGCGAACGGTACTTCGGGCATTTTTTTGAAATTATCATAACTTTGTCCCTCAATCGAAATTTTATTCTAGAGGTAAGCGTTTTATTACTGATGTTTACTGATTTAATAAAAATCATTGGTTTTTCAATAACTCTCATAATGCCCTCTCTGTCCTAGGCACGTGAGCTCGCAGCGCGAACGGCACAGCAGCAGCAGGCTGGTCGAAATGTGGTACCGCAGATGAGCAATGTGGGCACGCACCCGGACATGCCGGCAAATGCTCCAGTCATCCAGCCACTACCGCCGAGTGATCAGGTTCCGGTAATGAGTGTACTGGGATCACCACAGACACAGACTGGGCAATTTAATGCCCCTCCCGTTCCATCAGGCCAACCGAGCGCTCATCCAGAACAAACGGGCCAGCAACCTGGAAATCTAGCAGGCGCTCCAGTTACACAGACAGGCACTTTTCATGCACCTCAAGGACAACCGGTTCCGCCTGGTATGCAACAGGGACTAGCCCAGAATACTGGGTTCCAGGCGAACAATCCGATTCCGCAGGCCCCACCTGTTCAACCTGGCACACAACAGGGATTCCACTCAGACCAAACAAGACAGCAGCCTGGAATCCAAGCTGGCAATCAAGTTCCTCAAGCCGGCTCCTTTGGCACACCGCAAGCACCCAATATCAATCAGGATGTGCATCCAGATCAAACGGGTCAGCGTAGTTTTCAAGCAGGTCAAGCTCCTCAAACCGGGAACTTTGGCTCAGTTCCAAACCAATCTGGACAGTTACCGCAAGTAAACCCCAGTCAACCGAATTTACAACCAGTAGTTCAAATAAACCCAACTGGTCAACAACCGGCACCTGCAGGATTTGCTCCGGGTCAGGGGAATGCGGGTGCACCTCAGGTTCCATTAAACCAAGCTGGAGCATCAGCAGGTGGGCAGTGGACACAACCAGCGTCACCACAGATTGTCCCGGCTGGATCCTCATCAGGGAATCCAGTGCCTGTTAGTGCATGATCTCCTCCCCATCTTACTGTCAATGGTCTTTTTCATACCGGTCTGTATGGAGAGAGAGAGATTATCTGGTGTTGGAATCAGTCCCATGTTTATTTTTAATACAGTGGTTTATCACCGTCGCATCCTGATATATTTTGTCTCAGGACTGGTGATCCTATCCCTTCTCTTCTCTCTCTCCACTTGCCATGAATTCGATGCCAAAGTGCGTAAGCACAACATCCTATCGTACGGGTTTTTCTCTTTGCCCTTCTTGATCGTCAAGCTTGCTTTTGATGAGTTCTGGCTGTACCCTGGGTGGTTGATTTGACCGCAGTCTGGCAACTCAATCGTGTTTATGCGAATATTGAAACAAATATTCCCTCCACCTGATATTCTTCACTTGGAAGTGTGCCTGAATTCCTTTGGGCTAAAAGTACCAACGTTCATTGAACATCACCATCATTTTGTGTGGTGGGTTGAGTTAACCGATTAACATCTTTTTACCAGTAGAAAACCTAGTGTACATAATGCACAGTTCGTTCGTTTATGAGAGCAGGCAAACATATTTAGGAGTTCGTCGATGCAGGTACTCTTTCTTGCCAGGTACCGATAGCTTTATTTAGCCCTATTCAGACATGTACCTCGCCCGTTTTAATCGAAATTAGCGCTGGAACGCGGGTGGGGTAGGGTTTAATTTTGATCTACTTGATTAACTAAAACAACGCAATCACAAGTAGTACTTGCACAGTCGACGCCTAAGCACGTAGCTATAACAATTCTTAGCCCTTTTTAATTTCATTCTAAAATTCGCCAATTTAACCATTATTTCCCGATAAGTCTTAATATACGACGATACTGTCTTGACCGTGCAACAATAACCGGACGTGCTGCAGTGCACTGACTTCTCGATTTCTAGTCACCCATATATACAACTGCAGTGTATCTTCCAATTCGAGGCATTGAGTTCCCTTTATCCATTTCATCAAAATAGAAAGAAGACAAATGTCGCGAGATGTTAACATTCTTTTAATCTTCTCAGTCGCTGACTTAAAACAAACAGGCACATATATAGCACATGGGATTAATGAACTTGGGTGAACAAATGTGTACAAGCATACAATGATTACTAAATTTAGA